CAGAGAGTAACTTAAGACTACCTGGAGATGATAATTTTATAGCTGGCAAGTTAAAAAAGCAGATGGTTCCCTAAGCCTTGGTGAGGGAACAGACACATGTTACCAGAGGTAGCTGAGAAACGTGATTCCCAGTTAAAAACCTGTTTGTAGGGACTCAGTACAGAGGGAGAGCAGACGAAGAATGGGAACAGGGTCCTCTAAAAGACGGAGGGAGAAAGTACTAGGGGATGTTGGGTTGCCTGACGCTTTTTATTGGAATAAAATTAAGCCATTTTGAGAGACCTTTGGCCCGGGTGACTGCCTGGACACTGCTTAGAGTGGATGCCTGTGAGAGCGGCCTAGAGGCAAGGACTGCCAAAACGTGTTAAAAAGATAAATAAAAAGTACTTGTCTGGAAATATTTAAAAACAGCTGTCCATTTCTGAGGGCAGACAGCTGGAAGAAAAATCATTGAATGCAAATATATCAAAATGACAAGGGGGGAAGCAGGTGGCTTACATATTAGTGTGGAGTCCTGGCCACTCAGTGAGTCTTGCTAGTTGGCCTTCCTATCAACTCAGATTTTGCTACACAACTTATGTTGACAACAAAATCCTTACTTTGAATCAAAATGCACTAAAATGGTGTCCAGACCTGGGGTCTCAACCGTAAACTTAAAATCATTTATATGTGAAGACCGAGGCAGCAGCTAAGCATCACTGCCAAACCTGGAGCTAACTACCCACAGATGCACAGTGACCTTATCCCCGGTGGTCTCCTCTGCAACACTGATCCTTCTCGTGCTGCTGCAGCCCACCAAGCAGCATGGGAGAAGAGATGAGCCTTGTTGCGTGGCTCAAACTCTTTGAAATGTGTGTGCGGACTATAGAAAAGCAACACAACAGACCTGCAGGCCTGGCTTCAGCCTCCTGCACATTGAGTAGGGTCCATTTGAAGCAGTGGCTGGAGAAGGTGTTTCCTGAACATCTTCAATGTCACTGGTTATTTTTTCTGCACATAGTACGGAAAGGAGCATTGCTTCCTCAGGGAAGCGATCGTACAGGCACTGTACAGGGGTGCTACTCTTCCAGCTGATCGACCCTCATAAAGCAGAGTAACATTTGTGGTCAAGAACAAGGCTAATGATCACAGCAAGATCTATATCCAAAAGTTACAATCTCATAGCTGGAAAAAGAAAAGAAGATTAAAAAGGCTCTCCTGAAACATGCTGCTCTGTCACCATCCTGTAACAGGCAGGATCTCGTAATGTCATCAAGCAGCAAACTCTAACAATAAATGTCCCCACAAAGCTTGAACAAAAGCAGCAGATATCACTCTCTCCCCATCTCTCCTGACAGAGCTGTTCCATTTTTTATACATATTTAAATATTCATTTGACAAGAGGGAGAGACTGACAGTAGCTCGGTACTGAAGACACTCGCAAGGGATCTCTCAGACCCAGATTCAAGCGCTCTCGCAGAATAGTACAAAGTATTTCTCTAGGGTTTGCATCAGGATTTTTTTTTCTGTTCCAGGACACATTGCTGGTCGAGAACAGAGAGAACGGAGGAGACTTGCCCTGGGACAGTCCGTAGCTGGGCTATAGGGCGTTCACCTGGGAAGCGAGGGAGATGCTCGTAACCTCAGTGAGTGCCTTCACTAATGGCTGTCGAGGCAAAGTTCCCTCACACTTTCCCAATGCCTTCGTCCCTCCATGGGGGAAAAAAAGAAGTCCCCCTGGCCCAGAGAGGATCCCTACCATCGAAGTCCAATTCTGTGAAACATTTTGAGAGGCCAGAATTTTCTGATGGAAAATGTATTCCACTGGAAAGTTTCAAACCAGCTCTATTTAAAACAGTGCTGGCTGTAATTGCTCATAGTTTAATTCAACCAAGTAAGATAGAGTTCAAACCCTCGTGACTGCACATAGCATCTTCAGAGTGCAACAGATCACTAAAGGCAATGTGCTTTGTTATTTAAGTGAAGAATTTATTTTCATTGAAACTCTGTTGGTAATGCAGCTGGGACAGGCATTTTTCAAGAAGGCTTTCTGACCTCTGTATCAGGACCAGACATAGCCGAAGGTTTTGAACTGACCAATAGATCCTGTGTTAACAGACTTCCCTGGTTAATTCTTTTGCTCTGCTTTAGGAAGGAGAAAGGAAGAGTGGCGTGGCTTGGCTTGCTCTAGTCCCCAAGCTATACTAGTTAAACTAACAGCACAACATTGCATGTGAGTGCTTTATCAAGGCTTATATAAGTTTGACTTGCCCTTGTAAATGTAAACAAGTTTCCCTTTTTAAAACTAACTCAATTTAACTCTACGTCTGCACACCAATTCCATTTAGATGGATGCCACTTTTCTGTTTAGGAATTGGAATGCACTGGATTAGCAGAGGAGAGGTTTGATAAAACAGGAAAAGAGATGAAAACTGAAAAGCTGAAAAAGAAAAACAAGCTAGGAAGAGAGAGAAGAGATAACAAGAAAATGGACAGAAAGTTATTGTAAGACAGCTGGAAAAGAAATCTTTTGAGTGAAGCACTGCTGGCCACTTACAGACAGAAAAATGTGGCCATAAGGAGGGACAACTACAGAATCAAGAAGCAGAGCAATATATTTAGGGATCTGAATTACTGAAAAAACAGCAAATAAATCCCAGATTTTGATAAGAAATTAAAAAAAATGTTGAAAATCAGCCAGGAGGCCATTCCTGTGGGCATTAAACATGTTCCAGTAGTTTCAAGTCCTGTTTCAGGAAGGACCTAACTATGCATTTGAGTCATCTAGGTGCTTCAAACGCTCCAGAAAATTCTACTTTTTCCTTCTTGGTTTCCTCAGTGACTCACACTTCTTTATCTGTGCCAGCGCAATGTCCTCGCAAGCTTTGCAACGGGTTTTGCTAGGAGCTAAAATACCCTCCAAAGCCCTGAAATGACTTTTTTCACCTGTCTCCTGACTTTATTTTCAAAGCTACACGTTTGTATACTACACTGCTTTCAGTTCTGTGTACCCATGTGCAGCGAGGTACGCTGTCCTTCTCCATCAGCAAGCCTAGCATGCCTCCGCATCCGTGTCGGTTTAGGTGAAGAACATAGCAGTCACTGCACAAGAGGTTTAGGTCAGAGGTCGGCATCTTGCCGTGTAAAAGATCTGGAGGCTTGACCTGAGACAAAAAGGCATATTAACTAGGTGTTGACTAGAAGAGCACCTTAAAACTCTGTAGGGCTGTTTTGCTTCATACCACACATAGGCTCAACAGAGAGGTTAAGAAAATCTTACTAAAATTATGCAACAAACGAGTTGCTAAAAAGCTCAGGTAAGCCCTGTTGGTTTTTTTAAGGTGACAATGCTGAGGGGGAAGCTCAGTTTTTGAACAGGATGAAATACTTTCTCATGTTATGAACTGTATTCTAAATTACTGCATTTGGATCTTTTAAAGTACAGGGGTTTTGGTGAAAGTAGAACAGTAAGCACAACAAAAAACGAGTTACTAAGTTTCTCATAATCTAAAATGCTCTGTAGTCCTTTTTTGTGTGTCAGTCATCTTAAAGATACCAACAGTGTTGGGCAGAGACTACGCTGCAGAGATGCCACGCTAGTTTCTTACAGATATGTAAGACTCCAATCCAACTTCCATAGAGTGAGAGGAAGGTGGATCAGACTCCATCTTTGTATTTGTATGGAAGTCAAGCTCTTGAGCTACAGAGACTTTTTGGCCATCTCCCAGCACGGGGGGCTCCCAGGGCTGCCTGCCACCCCCAGCTCCCTCTCCGTCTAGCTCAGGAGCTGACAGTCTGACCGTGGCCTCCGTGGCACACTGAGCTGTATATTTGGGTTACTTATGTCTCCATTCCCTTCTATTCCGATCCCCTGTCTGACAACAAAATGAAAAATATTGAAGTAGCATAAAGGCAAAATTGATCACAGCAGGGTTTTTCTACAATATTACCTCCGTCCTTATCCTTTCCATCTCCAGAACATATGAAAACGGTTCTTATGCACACTGAATCAAAACCAAATTGAGTGACTCAGAGGAATCTATAGATCCCAAAGAGCTGGAAATTAACTGAATTCTAATTCTCACAGGAAGCTCAGAAATGTAGACTGCATTGGTTCTTTATTATTTTGATAATTTTTTTAAACGGAGACAAAAATAATCTAAGCTCATATCTAGCCCCATCGTGCTTCTTTAAAGACTGAAAAGCAATAAGATAATAAAGAATGCAAATGTTCAGACAGCTGCTCACAGGGAGATGCTGTTTGAAGTAACAGCTCTCTCTCCCCCTCTGCTGCAGCTGGGTTGCTTTTAATTACTAGCAAGGAAAATAACAGGTTCAATAGATGTGGATGCAAGTTCATTTTCACCATCAGTTGACTTCTGCAACTTTCACGCCAACACCGGGTTTGAGAACATGGACAAGTTTACACTGATGATGACTAAGACTATTGCTCATTCTGAATATAAAATAGAGCATAGGGGTAGTACGAAGGGTGCTTTTGGATCACAATCATGAGGACCATCACAGAACTCTACCTTAAAAACTAATGCTCAATCCCCAGCTTTCACAAACACACACCCCGGTGGCCTTAAACAAGTACATGTGATTTACAACCACTCAGACATAGATTTCTGGTCCCCTTTCCCAAAAGGCTACAACAGCACCTCAGTTTGAACACAATGCAGAGCAACTGCACGTAGGGGCGTGGGATCCCCATCACATGCACGGAGCGATGAGAGAAGCTGCAAATGGAGCTCGGTTACTCTGCCACTGCCTGACCTGCCCCAGAGGGAGAGGGAGTTGTGTACAGGGCTGCCTTTAGAGCAAGAGAGAAAATAAGAAGCAACATGCCAATATCCATCTGAGACTTAGATCTAAAGGATCATTTCCACTTTTTCTGCTACATGTGAGACGAAACACTGTTACATACCTTACTATTCAGCAGACTACGGTCAACCAAGAGAGGACGGTAAAGAGACTGACATATACAGATAGACGTGTACCTGCAGTCAACCACTTACTTTGGATTTCCGGCCCCTGGCTTCTTTCTCCGGAATATGTTGAGGAAAGTGTTGGACTTGCAAGGTGCCTTGCCATCCCCGACATGCATACGCACCACATCTGAGGTGGTGAAGGCACTGCGGACGTTCCTCTCAGGCTTGGCTATGATGATGTACATCTTAGGAGTGAACATGCACCCCAGTGCCACTGTCACGCTCAGGCTCACTGCAAAACAGGTGGTGATGATCTTGTAGTTGCTCCCGAAATAGATGGGCACAAAGGCCAGCCAGATGATACAAGTGGTGTACATGGTGAATGCAATGTACTTGGCCTCATTGAAGTTGGCAGGCACATTGCGAGTCTTGAAGGCATAGTACGTGCAGCTCATGATGAGGAGTCCATTGTAGCCCACAGGAGCCACGACGCCTAGGTTGCTGGTGTTGCAGATAAGGTAAACCTCCTTAATGCTGGGGTAGGAGAGGATGGGCATCGGGGGCTCCAGGATGATCAGCGTGATCACCAGTGTCAGCTGCACGCTGATCAAAATGGAGGCAATGACCACTTGGGCCCACGCGCTCATGAAACGTGGCTTGCGGGTACAGATCTTCTTTTTGCTGCCTGCCAGGATGCGTGCAATGCGGTTGGTTTTGGTCACAAGGGCAGAATAGCACATGGCAGAGGAGAGACCCACCAGAAGGCGCTGGAGGTAGCAGGATGTCGTGGTGGGTTTAGCTATAAGGGTGAAAGGGCAGACGTAACCCAGAAAGATGCCAGCAAGGATAATGTAGCAGAGCTCCCGGCTGGAGGATTTGACAACAGGGGTGTCCCTGTAGAGCACAAAGATAAGGGTGACAAACATGGTGACCAGGATCCCCAGGCAGGAAAAGACCACAGCCACAATAGACTCTATATTGCTCCACTGGAGGTACTTTACAGGGATGGGTTCACAGCCTGCAGTGTACAGAAAAGAAACAGAGCGTTAGAAGGGTAGCTGCTTGAAGAAAGAACTCTTTTTTTCTGGCTCCCAATATAATCCAAACATTAGCTTATGCCTATGTGCCATGGATTATTAAAACCGTTTTACAAAGGAGTGGACTGCAGCCTGGAAAAGTTTGGATGAAATATGTTCAAAAAACAGCCATCGATTTTGAGTGTCCCAAACATTTGCTCATGATGCAACAAAAGGAAACGAGATTTGGAAATTTTTTCATAATTTTTCTTGAGATACCTGCTGCTGACGAGCCCAGCATATCAAAGGCAGAGCTGGGAACAGAACCCAGATAAACTCAGCACCATCCCTTCATTTCAGCAGGGAAAGGATTGTTACAAATCAGAATGGGTAGCTTATTGACCTCCTTAGACTAACTTAGTTTAATCTTTGTCATAATGATTGTAACTTGATCCACTACATTTTTGTGAGGGTGATTTTATAAATAATAGAATTAATGTAAGATCTGTGGGCAGAAAAATGGTAATAAATCCAAAGTTGTAATGGAACTATACCATAGATACTGTACCTTATTAGTATATTTCTGCTTTTTTTTTCTCTTAACATTACCTTATATTCTTCCTCTTAACATTACCTCACTCTCATATTCAACACTGTGCTCATTGTTTTTCCACTAAATAATGTAATTTGAAGCTTATGGAAAAGTCAAACCCACAAAATATGCATGCCTTCAAAAAATATCTGGAAAGGCTCTCCTTTATGACTAGTACAGATGTGCAAACATAGGTACCAGTTAAGATGGTACTTAATTGCTCTCTCCCACACTCGAGTTAAAGCAGTCTCTGGCTGTCTTCCTCACTGTGCTGGAGGTGTAACACCAGCAATAAACATTACAGAGAAAATAAAACCCTCTGTGTTAATAGGACGTTATGGTTGTGAAGCTGAGTTACTGAGAACCTTCCTTCTGGCATTTCCTAGTTTCTGTTCCTGACTTAATAGTGCCCAACACTTTTAACATGTTTCTGTATCCCAAGGAAAGTATCCATGGCCTCTTCTACTTCTTACTTCTGTCCTCCTCCAGTTTCCCTTGGACCCAACTCACATTTCGTGCCTTTCCCCACCTCTCAAGTATCTTTCCTCCCAGTCCCTCACCATCCTCGTCTCAGTTCCCCTTCCAGTTCAGTTTTTCCTAGCCAGTCACCTCTCCACCCAGATGTCTGCACTACAAACACTGTTGCTCCAGCTTTTCACATCCTGGACCAGCTGCTCATCACCTCTGCCTGTCTGGGTTGTTGGATGCGGCCAAGAAGAGCAGGGAAAAGGTGGTGGTGCCAGCGAGCTTATAAGAGAGGCAATTTTTCCTCTCCGTTTTGCTGCTAAATCTTAGCAAGGGCTCTGATACTGTGATGGGCAAAAGTCATGCTCAGCCTCTTCCTCCTCAGTATAGAGTGTATCTGCAGAAACCAACCTCTATGAACTAAAAGCTTCCAAGACCCACAGTTTTGTTCAATTTATATGCATCTTCCACAGGGTGACACAAAATTACCAGCCGACATGTCTATCAAAATGCAAAGTCCTTCCTTCCAAATAGAAGAGAAGTAAGCAGAGGTATGGATCAGGGTTGAAAGGTTTTACAGAAACCTCATTTTGAGAAACAGAAGAAGAAATGGGTTTTGTTGAAATTTAAAAAAGTCAGCCTGAGGCAAAGTCCTGACATGGAAAATTTCTGCTTGAACTTTTAATGTCTGCCAATGTCATAGGAACTGAAAGAATTTCTGATAATTCTGTACTCTTTGTCTCTAGGAGCACCAGGCTGACTTAACTACAGGTAATGATGTTACAGGCACCTCTAACATCAAAGCCAATAGAGATGGTAGTATGTGCAACTGGAGGTCTTAGTGTATAAAGAAAGGGAATTCTGTTTTGCTCAAAGTGGTCTGTTCAAGACTCAGATACATGAGGAAACCCGTTCTTCCAACCAGTATTTTTATGGCGAAATATGAAGGAAAAGCTTTTTATTAGAAGTGGGAACCTCCGGCCATTGGCTGCAGCAGCCCAGAGTGGAAGTTGGATCCTTCTTTGATTTAATAAAAGACTAAGAATCAGAAGCTACTGCTTGTTGATTAATACATGCAAAGCTCTTCTTAAACAAGCCAGTCTGTGGTTACTGGAAGGGTTAAGCTTCAATGTGGGCTTTAAGCTTAGCAACATCAAGCCATACTCATATTATTCCACCTTAAACAATATTGTCAGAGCCTTAGCCCTGATTCAGCATGGTAGTTAAGCTTATCGATGGCTTTAAGCTTATCCTGTGTAAGGTCTTAGAAATCTGTTTCATTAAGTAAGTGTTGATTCCTGTGCACCAGCAAGCCCCAAGAGCCGCATATGCTACAAACATTGCCAAAAGCTGCCTGCACTGCTTATATCAGCAAAGAGTAGTTGGTTGTCAGCAGCTGTGAAGGTGGGGCATCTCCCAGTTGGGAGAAAGTGGGCCAGGGAACCTTGTTGAGACTGGGGGAGGATACCCAGGAAATGGTGTACTTACAGGCTTGTCCTGGTTTCAGCTGGGATAGA